GGTCATAGTACGGGTCGTACTACTGAAAGTTTCAGATTAGAGCATCTCTTGTAAAATGATCGTAACATTTTAATCCAGACTCAGATTTACAAATGATTAGTGGAGATAGAATAAGACCCAAATACCTTTAATTTGATGGGTAATAGGACATATAATTTTTCATATTCTAAGAGATATGCTCGTTTGAAGCTGACCCTTGCATGATCTTATACAAAAACTTAATCGGTAGTTATCGTCATCGTCATCGTCATCATCATCATCCTCTTCGTCGCCCGAACCTGCTGCAGCCCGGCTGCTTTCCGCCTTGCTTGGTTTTAAGATTTTTTTAGTGCTCTTGCAACTAAAATAATTGCAAGTGGCAGCCCCTTGCATTCTTTGGCAACCTCTTTAGCTATGTCAAGTAGAGATGGATAATCGACAAAATTACCAACTTTCTGCCTAAAGAGGATCCATGATTTCTCTTCAGATAACATTCCAACTTCCAATGTCTTCTGAGCTCCCATTTCTTCACAAACACATGGGAAACGTGTAGTGAATGTCACTTTGCACTTGTGTTTGTTGTTGCTTCCACTTGGTGTTTCAAGATTAACAGATGCCCCCTGTCACTCTAAGGTTTATCTCAAAGTAAGGTGAACTATAAAACTGTAACACATGTTCACTTCTAACTCATTGTGGTACCTGTTTCAGGTATACATCCATATGATGCACAACATGTTGATTAAGGTCTAATGATATAACCCTTATTTTCTTCTAGCCTTGGTACAAGAGTGCTCACATAGCCTGGACCAGGTTCTCATCTCACCAGGTATGCACTTCATCCCCCTCTTTATTCATCTCTGCATTCCACTTATATATATGACCTTGCTACACTCTAAAAGAACCTAGTGCACCTTACTGTTTTCCATACATCTTTGATTTTTTTCGCGGGAAATAAAAAAATGACACACCATTTAAACCCTCATCAAACCTTTCCCACTCACATCACCCTAGCACATAACCGTCACTCACGTCTCCCATCAATGTAAGACCACCATCATTACATCTCATCTCCCAAGAATTCTTCCCAAACGTCTTCCACCAATCCCAAAACAACCCAAGATTAATCACAATACAGATTTCATCAACCAAAGAAAATGAAAAAAAAGGAGAAATGAACCATGGCTTACCCCCTTGTCGCCTACTCCGATGACGAAAGTTCCTCTGACTCACCGGCGCACTCATCATTTCCGGCATCACCCATCGCATTATCTCAGGAGGAAGGTGGTTTCTCCACTGATATATCAATAAAAAAAATCCACTACCAAACTCCCCTTAGAAATCCCCCATGCTTATTCGTCCACCATCTCCACTGTCGGCATATGCCTCCGGCAACCCCTTAACCCCTTCGTCATCGCCTCTTCACTTTGAAACCCCTATTCCTCCCCACTCGATTTCTCCACCGCCATCTCTAGTCGAAACCCCAATTCCCACTATCACAACAACCCCACCTCTACCACCCAGTCAGTCAGCTTCATCCGAAGATCCCTCGGCGACCACACAAACATATTGCCGTCAAAAGGACTTATATTTGCGTCTCATTCCCTCGCAGTGCAAGTCTATCTCAACTGCAGGAAGCCACCGAATCTAGTAAGAAGCGAAGACGAACTGGTAAGTCTCCAGTTCCTCGTTGTGTCTCAACTGTACTGCTTGACTCTGAGTCCTCACCTGCTGCCCCCTCCTCCCAAGCCACCAAAATGAATAAAAATATAGCCAAGTACCTAGCCTTGGGGAAGGATAAATACTTTGGTACTAAGAAGGTTCTTAGAGGTAGGACTTTTCATCCTGACATTCGCACTATGGGGTCAGTCCTGAGGGTATTGGATTTACTATATTTTCAGGGGTGGGCAGAATTATTTCTTGACACAAGGTTGCATGAGCATGAGAAAGAGGTGTGTGAATTCTACACCAATCTTAATGTTTTAGAAGGCTCTGTGGCCACTTCTTCTGTAAATGGTGTGGACTTGGTGTTTGATTCGGTTAGACTTGATGGGATTTTTCACATCCCATCTGTAGGGTTGTCTAAGTATGTTTGGACTAAAGATGTGAATAGTATGTTGACCTCAAAGTTCTCTCAGGGGCGAATTACAGCGAGATCTGGAAACGTTCTCAAGGGGGAGATCGATGTCCCCATTTCACAAACTGTTGTTTGAATTTTTCCATAAGGATATTTTTCCTAGGGGTGTGAGGAGGCATGAGGCCTCTTTTAGGGATATGGGGATTGCACATGCTTTGGAGAATAAGGATCCTATAGACTGGCCATCCCTAATGAATAAACATATGGCTAGGGTAATTGATCCTAAACCTGGTGCTCATCAATTGGCTTTCGGAAATCTCATCACCACTATGTTTAAAGATTTTGATGTCCCCTTGGGCGAGGGGAGGGCTTTGGTTAGTTGTGATATGATCACCAGATCCACTATTGCTACCTGCCGGTTGTATGATGAAGGTAATCATGCTCCTTCATTTCCACCCCGTGTTCCTAGCCCAGTTGCCACTCTATTGAACGACCTACATGTTGCCAGGGAACAAAATGAGACCCTCCGTGCTGAACTTGAAGCTTCTCGCAATGTCTAGCTATGTCTCAGGGGGAAGTTGCTCGATTAAAGGATCAGCTGGTGCAGCAACAAAGTGATTCCAATGCCCGTGTGGATCGTGTTCTTCAACTCCTTTCCATGTCCCAACCTTTATCCCACCCTTCTCCTTCAAAATCTGAACCATTTTGTTTTACTTTGATCACTGTTGAAAACAATGTCATGTTATTTTGTGTTTTTGCTCTGGATGGATATTTTGGTGAAGCTCTTTGTGAGCTTAAAACTCTAGAGCTATCTGCTTTATATGACGACTTTGTGCCTGCTTATGATGTGTTTGTGTTACCTTGGCTTAAAATGGATAATATCCTTAGATTGAATTTGATTTGTGTTATGCTTTCTATAGGTGTTGTCCATAAGGACTCTGAGTTTCGATCTAACTTGGTTATGTTATATGCTCACCTCTTCTTTTTTATATGCCAAAATGGGGAAGATATTATAGTTATTATTCTCTAGAAACAGTGATGATTTTGCAAAGGAAATGGGAAAATATTTGTCATCATCAAAAAGGGATAAAATGATAAATCAAATATGGTTTTGATGATCGACACCATGAACCAGGTTCACCTTGCTGGTTCACCTTGGAAAGCTTACAACTCAAAGGCTAAATAACGGAAATATTAATATAAAAAAAGAAGAGTTTTTGTGCTAAAAAGAAGTTGAGTCGGAAGAGGAAAGTTCAACAGAAGAAGTCTTGTATGAATAAGGAGACATGACAAGCCAAGTTATAAAAGGAAAAAGTTTTGCAATTAAAAGAATAAGTCGAAATATTTTCCTAATACAACTATAATTTCTCTCCTTATACATATCGGATTCTAACACAGTTCAACATCTATAAAAAGACAAGAGAGACCAAGGAAGAAGTCGTCTTCGCATACTTCAAAATGAGAGAAAGTGAGAGAGAATCATAGTGAAGGCCAAAGGTGTTTAAGTAGTAGAGTAAGAAAGAATTCTAGAGTTAGATTTCTTTCAAGTTAGGTGAGTCACATTGATTCATAGTTGAATCAGTGGTTGTGAGGGTTGTGAGTTTTGTAAACAATAAGTGGGTTTGACTTCTTAGGTGGTTAGAGTTAAGAGAGAGTTGTGAGAGAATTGTAACAAGAAGCGAGTTTGACTTCTTGGAGAGTTGAGAGTTTTCGATTATAGTTAATCGAAAAGGTTAGAATTTTAGAGTTATATTCATTGATTGACTGAGTTGTAAATCTTGAATTAATATAAAACTTTGGTGTGGTTTTTCCCTTCCTTGAGTTAGGAAGGTTTCCACGGTATATTGGTGTCATTGTTCATTAACGTAAGTTTCTTATGTGTACTATTCAAGAACATGGTCCTTGAGTACTAGGTAAGGTTTCTTCAATTGGTATCAAAGCGGGTCTTTTCGTTAAAAAATTCACATCTTGAAAAGAATAAATGGCAGCACCACCTACCCACAAGAAGGAGCTTCTCAAACTCTACCACCACTATCCAATGGAAAGTACTGTGGATGGTGGAAAAATTGCATGATGGATCACTTAATAAGTGAAAATCCCAATCTTTGGAGTGTAGTACTAGATGGTCCTGCTATACCCATGAAGAAGGGAGAAGATGGAGTCACCCTGCTACCAAAGAAAAGAAAAGAATGGATGTTGCTGACAAACTCGCCATTCAAAACAACGCTTAAGCTAAAAAGATCCTAATTTGAGGCATATGACCAGACTAGTACAATAGAATTTCATCATGTGAGGATGCAAAGTCGTTTCGGGATACTCTACTGACTGCTCACAAAGGAACAACTCAGGTTAAGAAATCTAAAATTGGCAACTTGAATAGACAATATGAAGTGTCAGAATGATGGAGGGAGAAACAATTCAAGAGATGCACACCAGGTTCACTGCAATCATTAATGAGATCTACTCGTTAAGATAAGTAATTCCAAACGAAAAGGTTGTTAGAAAACTCTTAAGTGTTCTACCAGAGTCGTGGGAAAGTAAAGTAGAAGCTATCACTGAAGCACCTGATCTAGACAAACTTGTCATGGATGAGCTTATTGGAAATCTCATCACATATGAACTAAAGAAAAACCAAGAAAAAGAAATTGGCAGTAAAAGAAAGGAGAAGAACCTAGTTCTGAAAGCTACAATACCTAAAGACTTTGAGGACGAAAATATTGCACTTATGACAAAGAGATTTTCCAGAATGTTAAAAAGAGGACAAACTTTTCAAAGAAGAGGTCCTCAAAAGACAGCTGAAAGCTCAAGAGAGCAACTATGCCATAAATGTGGAAGTCCAGATCACTTCATCAAATTCTGTCCACTTTGGTCCCAAGAACATAAAAAGAATAACACAGACAAAACAAAGGATGGTAAAGGTGACAGATATATTCCTACCAATAGGAGGATGACTAACCAAGAGGCTGATCACTCAATGAAGAAAGCTTTCGCTGCAATGGGAGGCATGTCAGAAAATGAGTCTGAAGATGAGGAAACTGAAAATCAATCCCTACTTGCAATCGAACAAACTGACAAATATCACTTCCTTGCACTAGTAGCCATAACTAAACCTGAAGATAAGGAAAATAATTGTCAGATACAGGAGACAATTCAAGCATTAATGGTTGGGTTAGATTCTGAAGAAGAAGAAGAGGACAAGAAAGACCAGGTTAGTCTGCATTACATTAAAGAAAATCTTGACTCTTATTCAAAAAGAAAACTAGAATCTCTATTGCATACTCTCATAAATGCATACCAATCAACCTGTTCTGAAAGAGATCTGCTAATGGAAGACTATTCATCATTGAGAGAGGAAAATGAAAACTTAGAACAACAAAATTGTATTCTTTATAATAAGCTAAAAGAATTGAACAAAGAGTTTAAATCCATAACTGTAAAAAATGAAGAACTACAGAAAACACTTCACATTACCAAAATGGAAACAGAACACGGTATGAGATGGACCAGGTCCTTCATACTACTCGATAGAATCCAAAAGAGTCAATCTTCCACAAGAAATGGAATAGGCTTTTCTGAAGCTAAGAATCCCAACATAGATTGTTTGTGTTCCCACTAGACATAAGAGTTATGCATGCAATAAAAAACAAACTGCACATTAGAACAATTTCACTTTCGTACAAACAACTCAAGAGATATAGAAAGAAAACAACACAAAACTGGTTCCCACACTTAAAACCCTTCCATCATGGGCTAAGAAAAATCGTATTCATCCTTTCTCTAACAAACAAGGGCCCAAGTGAATCTGGGTACCCAAAACTAACCCTGTCTAATAATTGTAGGATTCAGCGGGAGGAAAGCCAAAACAATGGTACTTGGACAACGCATGTTCCAGGCATATGACTGGAGATAAAAGCAACTTCCTCTCATTGAAAAATTTTAAGGGTGGAAACGTAGCCTTTGGAAACGGAAAAACTGAAGAAATACAAGGAATTGGAAAAGTGGGCTTGAACCTTAACCAAGCTATTGACAATGTGTACTATGTGAATGGATTACAACATAATCTGCTAAGTATATCCAAAATGTGTGACAGAGGAAACAAAGTTATATTTACTACTAATGAATGCAAAGTGGTCAACTCAACCATAGAGAAACTGGTTCTCATTGGGAAAAGACAAATGTATACAAAACTGAGATAATGATCCCAGACATCCCACTCACCTGCCTCAGCGCCATCACTGAAAATTCCCTTCTTTGGCACAGAAGGTTGGGGCATATTTGTCTTTCTACAATAAATAAGTTAATATCGAAGAACCTGGTCAGAGGAATACCTGAAAAGAAGCTAATTAATGAACAAATATGTGGTGCATGTGCACAGGGTAAACAAATAAAATCTTCCTTCAAACCTAAGGCAGTAGTCAGCACTACAAAACCTTTGGAACTGCTCCACATGGACTTATGTAAACCAATGTGATTGCTAAGTAGAGGAGGAAAAATGTACATATTTGTAATTGTAGACGACTACTCTAGATTCACATGGACCATATTTTTAGTAACAAAAGATGAGACATACGATATGTTTGAAATCTTTGTGAAACTGGTTCAAAAGAAATTCAATAGTGAAGTTATCAACATCAGATTAGATCATGGTTTAGAATTTGAAAACTTCAAGTTACTAAACTTCTGCACTATCAATGGTGTTGATCACAACTTTTCAGCACCAAGAACTCCACAACAAAATGGTGTGGTAGCACGCAAGAATAGAACATTAGAAGACATCGCTAGAACCATGTTGATTTCAAGCAATCTACCAAAATCCCACTGGGCTGAGGCAGTAAACACTTCCTGTAATCTCATTAACAGATGCATGATAATTTCCATACTAAATAAAACCCTATACGAACTGTTGAAAGGAAGAAAACTGAATCTAGCACATCTTTGACCTTTTGGGTGCACCTGTTATGTACATAACAATGGGAAAGGCACCCTGGGTAAGTTTGATGCCAAAAGTGATGAAGGAGTGTTCCTTGGGTACTCAACACAAAGTAAGGCATACAAAATACTTAACAAGAAAATAAATTGTGTAGAAGAAAGCATGCATGTCATCTTTGATGAAGGGCAGAACCAAACTAATGGAGGCATGGTAGAACATCTTGATGATCTAGGTATGACTCAACCAAAACCACCAGAGGAAAACCAATCAAATGAGGATGGAACTGAGGAACCAAATAAATTAAGCCCCATCACCCGTGAAACTGAAAATACAGTCGAGGAGGTAGAAGATGGAGAACCAGGGCCATCAACATCTAACACTACTCGAGATGCTCAACCAAATAGTTGGAAACATCAAAGATCACATCCAATACAGAATATTCTCACACCCTTGGATTCAAGAATTCATACTAGAGAAAAACTAAGGAATATGTGTGCCTTCTCAGCATATTTGTCACTGGTCGAGCCCAAAAATACTAAAGAAGCTCTGGTAGACCTATACTGGATTATAGCCATGCAGAAGGAACTGAGTCAGTTTGAATGAAGCAAAGTCTGGAACACAGTTCCCAGACCACACGATAGAAATGTGATAGGCACTCTATGGATTTTTAGAAATAAAATCGACGATCAAGGACAAGTCACACGAAACAAGGCAAGACTAGTTGTACAAGGGTACAATCAGGAAGAAGGAATCGACTATGATGATACCTTCGCACCCGTAGCAAGAATGGAAGCAATACGGATGCTTATAACCTTTGCCGTCCACATAGAGTTTAAACTATAGCAGATGGATGTAAAAAGTGCTTCTCTGAATAGATACCTCCAAGAAGAAGTATATGTGAAACAACCTCCTGGGTTTGAAGACCCTGATCATCCTGAATATGCTTATAAACTAGACAAAGCACTATATGGGTTAAAGCAAGCACCAAGAGCATGGTACGATCGCCTGTCCAAATTCCTCCTTACACATGGGTATTCAAGATGAAAAATAGGTAATACACTATTCCTTCGAAGACAAGGTAATGACCTACTCATTGTTCAAGTGTACGTAGATGATATCATATTTGGAGGAACAGATACTGAACTAGGAGTTGAATTCGCAGAATTAATGAGTAGCGAATTTGAGATGAGCATGATGGGTGAATTAAACTTTTTCTTAGGTCTTCAAATCAAATAGTCCTCATCGGGCACCTTAATCCATCAACAAAAATACATCAAAGAATTGCTAAAGAAATTTGAGACAAATGAGACCAAAACAATTGATACTCCCATTGGAACAACGACTAAGCTTGACAAGGATGAAACTGGTTCTCCAGTAAACGATACCAAGTACAGAGGAATGACTGTCTCACTATTGTATCTAACTGCCAATAGACCTGACAGTGTATTCAGTGTGGGGCAATATGCTCGATTTCAGTCCTGTCCAAAATAATCTCATCTAAAAGTAGTGAAAAGGGTCCTTAGATATCGTAAAGGTACACTTAACTTGGTTCTATGGTATCCAACAGGAGATTCCTTCGACCTGGTAGGTTTTGTAGATGCAGACTACGCAGGTTACCTTGTAGACAGAAAAAGTACATCTGGAATCGCTCACTTCCTAGGGCCTTGTCTCGTCTCCTGGCAACAAGAAAACAAAATCCGGTCATCCTCTCCAATGTTGAGGTTGAATATATGGCTGCCGCATCTTGTTGTGCATAACTGTTATGGATTAAGCAACAATTGGAAGATTTTGGAATTAACGTAGGATGCATACCCATCATGTGCGACAACACAAGTGCAGTCAATATGGCAAAGAACTCGGTCCAACATAAACGAAACAAGCACATAGATATCATGCATTATTTTATTCGTGACAATGTTGAAACAATGACTCATCATCATGACCTTTTGCAAAACTGAGGATCAGATTGCTGACATTTTCACCAAGGCACTTGGGCGTGAACCATTTCAAAAGAATCGTTTAGCCTTAGGGCTGGTGTTTCAAGATTAACACATGCCCCCGTGTCATTCTAAGGCTTATCTCAAAGTAAGGTGATCTATAAAACTGTAACACACGTTCAGTTCTAACGCATCTTGGTACCTGATGATTAAGGTCTAATGATATTACCCTTAAATTATTCTAACCTTGGTACATGAGGGCTCACGTAGCCATGACCAGGTTCTCATCTCACCAGGTATGCACTTCATCCCTCTCTTTATTCATCTCTGCATGGCACTTATACATATGACCTTGTTACACTCTAAAAGAACCTGGTGCACCTTACTGTTTTCCATACATCTTTGATTTTTTTCGCCGGAAATAAAAAATGACTCACAATTTAAACCCTTATCAAACCTTTCCCACTCACATCACCACGGGCACTTAACCGTCACTCACGCCTCCCATCAATGTAAGACCACCACATTACATCTCATCTCCCACGAATTCTTCCAAAACGTCTTCCACTAATCCCAAAACAACCCAAGATTAATCACATTACAGATTTCATCAATCAAAGAAAACAAAAAAAAAGGGAAAAATGAATCATGGCTTACCCCCTTGTCGCCTACTCCGATGAAGAAAGTTCCTCCGACTCACCGGCACACTCATCGTTTATGCCGTCACCCGTCGCACCATCTCAAGGGGAAGGTGGTTTCTCCACTGATACATCACTAACAAATCCACTACCAGACTCCCCTCAGAAATGCCCCGTGCTTATTCGCCCACCATCTCCACTGCCGGCATATGCCTCCGGCAACCCCTTTACCCCTTCGCCATTGCCTCCTCACTCTGAAACCCCAATTCCCTCTCCACTCAATTTCTCCATCGCCATCTCCAGTCGAAACCTCAATTCCCACTATCACAACAACCCCACCTCTACCACCACCTACTAACCCTAATGACTCAGATCTTGAAGACATCCTACTCAGCCAGCTTCATCCCAAGATCCCTTGGCGACCACGAAAACATATTTCCATCAAAAGGACTCATATTCGTGTCCTATTAGCTCGCAGTGCAAGTCAAGCTCAACTGTAAGAAGCCGCCGAATCTAGTAAGAAGCGAAGACGAACTGGTAAGTCTTCAGTTCCTCCCCGTGTCCACCTGTACTGCTTGACTTTGAGCCTAAAACAGTCTTGAGTCCTCACCTGCTGCCCCCTCCTCCCAAGCCACCAAAATGAATAAAAATATGGCTAAGTACCTAACCTTGGGGATGGATAAATACTTTGGTACTAAGAAGGTTCTTAGAGGTAGGACTTTTCATCCTGACATTCGCACCATGGGGTTAGTCCTGGGGGTTTTGGAGTTACTACGTTTTCAGGAGTGGGCGGAATTATTTCTTGACACTAGGTTGCCTGTGCATGAGAAAGAGGTGCGTGAATTCTACACCAATCTTAATGGTTTGGAAGGCTCTGTGGCCAATTCTTCTGTAAATGGTGTGGACTTGGTGTTTGATTCGGTTAGACTTGATGAGATTTTTCACATCCCATATGTAGGGTTGTCTAAGTATGTTTGGACTAAAGATGTGAACTGTATGTTGACCTCAAATTTCTCTCAGGAGCAGATTACAGCTAGATCTAGAAAGGTTCTCAAGGGGGAGATGTCCCCAGTTCACAAACTGTTGTTTGAATTGGTCCAAAAGGGTGTTT